CCCGTCCAGGGTGTAGCCCGCCCCTCGCACAGTGATTGCTGGACATGGGCACCGGCGACCCCCGTGACCCAAAATGGAATAAACGAGTAAAGAAAATGGATGGATGGATTTTGAAAAGTATAAAAGTCACAAAAAGCACAAATATCACCCGTCTCCTTAACGAACTGAATGTTTTGATATAGGAATAGCTAAAACTAGAAAGTTCCTGGAGAAACTTTGACGGGGACTGCCACGCTGCGGCCAATTTAACATTTTGATTTGACAGTATGTGACAGAGTTTACATTTTTTGTTTCTTGTTAATCTACTGTAAAAAAAAATAATAATAATTGTAAAATACACCAGAATGCAGGAAATGGCATCTACTTGAATCAAAATTATCTGGGGGAGGACCCCCAGACCCCGCCCTCACCACCAACACAGTCTGTTCTGTAATGTTCTTTATACAGAATGGACGGTTAAATAACTGTATAATAAATAAATGGACTTTACTTACAGAAATATTTGCATTTCATGTATTAATGCATTTGGCCCACAGCCCTTTGATAGATTTTAAATTTGGCCCTTTTAGGGTAAAAGTTTGGGCACCCCTGCCATAATCATTTCTACAGTAGAGCCCCCAGGAATAAGGTGGATATTTACAAGCACAAATAGTGGCAGCAGCAGCTAGCTGTAACACTTCCTGTCCAGCCTGGGCCACTTTAGGCAAAAATAAACATAAACCTTTTGAAATCTTTGAGATAGGAGTTGTTCTAAAACCGCAGCAATTCCCTTTAATCTTGCCTCCTTTCATACCATGAGCTCATTAATCCAGTTATAAATGTTCTCAAACTGAGGTTGAGCAACAGATAAGAACTGATCTATCCTTTGTTTTAATATTTAGTTGCATCCTCTCTCTCTCTCTCATTGTCTCCATCCATCCGTCCGTCCGTCTGTCTGGACTGCATCAAATTCCCCCTCATGGTGATTCAGAGCTAAACTTAATATGTAGATCCTCCAAACATGCCCAAAGAGCTGCATCTCTGGTCTCACGGCAGCTGTTAAGAGTGCACAGGTGATAAGGAGGGATTCAACCACACACGTCAAATCCCTGCTGACCTCTCCTTGGCCTCTTGCTGAAGTCTACACCCCACCAACACACACACATTGTGATAACAGGCAGAAACTCAGGACGATCCCTCTGCACCAGCTCCCTTCCATCCCACTACAATAGAAGGAGCATGTGGCCAAGGGCGTCGACGCCTTGATAAATATGCATCGCTGCCTCAGAGAAGATGTAGTTATTTCCACCGTTTTGTGTGGGAGTGTAAATTTATGTGCGTAATCCCTGTGTAGTGTGTCTCAATGCTCCTGGTCAAAACGAGAATGAATATTCACACACGCATGCCCTTTGCACACACACACACACACACACACACACACACACACACACACACACACGCACACACACACACACACACACACACACACACACACCCCTTTTTGAAAAGTCAATAAACACAGAGGGTGGTTTGAACATCTCTGCGTTCAGTATGCATGCAGCTGATGCAACCTCTGAGCAGAGCCTGATGATACGGGTCACACATTTGCAGGATAGAAGCTTGCTGCAGTGTTTTATTTTTTTATTTTAGTTCCTTTTTTGCCTTCCTTTTGTGTATTTGCATGTGTTTGAACGTGTGTTTTTGGCTTTTCGAAACAATTAATACAGCTGAATATTTTACTCTGTTTGTTCAAATCAAGTTAAATGTTTTTGTTTCTCCCTCTCTCTGCTTTTATCGTCTCTCTTGAGTTTAGCCTCCAGGGCTTTAGGAAAGCACCATGTGCTCGACAAATAATGGAGACTTTAATGTTGTCAGGAAGAGCGAGAAAGTAAAATAGATTAAATGAATTATTGCCTATTAATTAACACCATCAGAATTTTTGAAAAATTGACTGAAGTGCAGCGGCACGGTGGCACAGTTGGTGGAGCTACCTCAAAGCAAGAAAGTTACCAGATCAAATCCCGCTCGGGGGGTGGGGGGGTTGCATTCTGGGGGGAGTTTGCATGTTCACTCCGTGCATGCGTTTCCTCCCACAGACCAAAAACATGCATGTTAGGCTGATTGGTAACTCTAAATTGTCCCTAGGTGTGAGTGAGCGTGAATGGTTGTTTGTCTCTACGTGTCCCTGGGATGGACTGGAGACCTGTCCAGGGTGTCCCCCGCCCTTTGCACTGTGATTGCTGGACATGGGCACCGGTGACCCCCATGACCCAAAATGGAAGAAGCGGGTAAAAGATAATGGGAGGATGTTAGAAATACAAATAGACAATATCTGCTCTTTGAATTTGCAAAAATTCTCATTTTTATCCACAAGAAAGTGATTAAAACTATAATTTGATGTTTAAAAGTCATTTGTAAAATCAAATCACTTTATTTCTAAAGGCTTTAATATTGTGTCCAGACAGTGTGTTGCATTTATAAGACTCTGACAATCAGACAGCAGAGCAGCAAACACACACACACACACACACGCACACACACACACATATATATACACACACACACACACACACACACACACACACACACACACACACACACCTCGTGAGTGAAGACAGAGGCCGAACCTCCGGCCTTATTGCTTTTCAACAAACGTACTTTAAAGACGGTGGAACATGTTTGGTCTGAAAGCTGCAGTTTGACAGAATCACAGAAAACAAGTTCCCATCAAGAGTTGATAAGATTTTCTATGATTTTTCTCCTTTTTCATTGACACTTACAGGCGCATCTTAAAGAATTAGAATATTGAGAAAAAGTTCAATTTTTTGTCTATCATTTCAGAAAGTGAATCTCATTATAGTGGAATATTTCAAGACTTTATTTCTTGTAATTTTGAGGATTATGGTTTACAAATAATGAACAAACTAATATTCAGTGTCTCAGAATGTTAGAATATTGTGAAGATGTTCATTATTATAAACTCCTGGTGTCACACCCTGATCAGCTGAATAACTCCAGGACATGAGCTACAAATGTCTCATTCCTCAAGTTGAGCCACTCCTGAACCAGAGACAACATCAGAAGAGTCTTACCTGCTGAGGACCAAAAGATCTGGACTGTTGCTCAGTGGTCCAATGTCCTCTTTTCAGATGCAAGTCAGTTTTCATGTCATTTAGAAAATAAAGGTCCCAGAGTCTGGAGGAAGAGTGGAGAGGTTCATAATCCACATTACTTCAAGTCCAGAGTGAAGTTTCCAGTTAGTGATGGTTTGGGGCCATGTCCTCTGCTGGTGTTGGTCCACTGTGTTTCTGAAGTCCACAGGCCATGCAGCATCTACCAGGACATTTTACACACGACATGCTTCCTTCTAGATGAGATTTATGGAGATGCTGGTTTCAGGACTTGGCTCCTGCCCACACTGACAGAGACACCAACAGCTGACTGTGGAATATTATAACTTTCTGAGACACCGAGTTTAGTTTTCATTATCTGTAAGACATAATCATTAAAATTACAAATAAAGACTTGAAATATTTAACTCTGCGTTTAATGAAGCTATACGAGTTTCACTTTCTGAAATTTGCAATATAAACTATTTTCACAATATTCACATTTTTTGAGACGCACCTGGAAATCTTTGGTTGTGTCTGATGAAAATTAGCATGTTTTAAAAGATGTTAATGTTGATTTCCATATATGTTGCGATCCAACAGCAAACAGGACATTTACAACGGTTTTCAATGAACCTGCAGTTGTTTTTATCAATTACGAGTATTTTTTTTTTTAATTAATTTTCTGTACAAAAAGAAGTCATATACGTTCAACATAAAAAAAAAGTGGTGAAACTCTAAAACCAAGCTAACATAATAATGAACTTCCACTTTAACATGTTAAAGAGGCCACAGTGAGGTCTACAAATGACTCGGTCATATAACTCTGAATGCACAACAAAACGTCTGTTAAGGAACTATATTAAATCGATATAAACACAATCATATACCGAAAGGTTCAAAAATTATTTGAAAAGGTGTGTATAGGAAGAAAAGTGTGGGAAGATTTTATTAAGTCGATACACAATATTCATTATAATAAATGTAACTACAAAGGAGGTCTAAACATTGTGTTGTATAAAACTCCAAAACATTTCCTCATTTATAGATACATCAGATAAAATTTATAGAAATAAAAAAATAGGGAGGGGTGCCCTGTCTTTTATTTTAAACACATTTACACAGAACTTTCAAGAGGAACTCCTTATTTTGGTCATATAATCTAAAAAGTTCTCTTAGGACTCTTTAATCTCTGAATGTTCTATAAAAATACATTTAGATGTGATTAAAATAACGTGGCTTCAATGGGTTTACAACACTTGTTATGATAATGCACAACTAAGAGACGCTTTCAGACCATTTTTCTGCTCTTTGTAGCTCCAGATATGTTCAGAGAAACTTGTCTCAGTTGTTGATTTACCAAATCTGAGGACAAAAATGTTAAACTTTTTTTTAATATATGACTAAATCAGCTTCAGAAGTTAGTGTTAAACCAGTTTTAATAGTCCAGGTTTTTAAATCGGTGAACCCCTAACTGTAGGACAAACTATGATATGTACACGCCTTCGATATAAAACGCAAACTCAAGCTCGGTTTTATTTCATGAATAATTTAAAAAAATTAAATCGATACAAATTCTGTGTCAACGCAAAGGCATATGTGAGTCATTACATGTTTCCAGTGCAAAGAAGGATGTCAATGAAGCAGATGTCAGAAATGAGGAGAAGGAGGACAGCCATGTTGACTAACAGATGTCTGAAACACACGTATGTGAAACACGAGCTTTCTGCTGCTTCGGCTCAGACGACTGCCGTTTAAGCTCCGTCTCTGGACCCCAGCCAGAGCTGAACAACGCTTGCTCCTTGTTCGTCTCCTTCGTCTTGGCCTGGAGTGGCCTTGATTCACATAAAAAGGAGGAAAGAGAGTCACACTAATGGGGGTCTGGATGAAATGGGAACCAACCCCCACACCCCCTGTGTTCTCTCCAAACTGCGCAGACTGAAGGATTCCAGTGTAGGCCATCTGTGAGGGATGAGGCAAGATGGCAGCCGCTCTCAACAGGAGCAGTTCCCACAGCCCTTCACACTGTTCAGGATCTCCTCCTGCAGCTTCTTCCTCTCCTCCTCCTTCTGGGACAGACGCTCGGCGGGCGGCTCGGGCGAGCTCTTGGTGTCGTTCAGGATTTTGTTGTTCTGGGCGTTCCACAGATCTGCGTACAAGCTGCCCGGGGTGTTGAGGAGGGCGCGGTGGCTGCCTCGCTCGGCCACCTTGCCCTGGCAGGGAAATGGAGAGAACGAAAGAAACCAGAGAAAATATCAGACGTAAAAACGACAAACATAAACATGAAGGGGGGAACAGAAAGTCCTAACGCTGCAGAGTTCACCCCTCCTCTTAGAATACACGACGCCTCCCCAACAACTGTTGCGTTCCTTTCACAAACGCACACTCGTGCACGACAATCACGTCCCCGCCCACGCAGTGAAACAAATGAGGGCATCCTCTCCCCCCCCCCACCTCCAACGAGCGTGCAGAGGTGTTGGCATCGTCTTCACCGTGCCTGGGACGAGCATGTGACTGTATCGGCTCGTTATTTTAATGAGCGCCCCAGGCAGTCCTCTGCTGGTGACACTAGCAAACGCTCGGGCGACATCACACGGAAACGTGCCTCCTCATCCCAACCCTCTGATCCCTGCCGTCTGACTCTGGGAACGTGCAGCGAAACACGCTCAGAGAAATCTCCTCTCGGTTTTAGCCTCGGAAATGTCACCTCACCTGCTCCGTATTAAATCTTCCTTTTCTAGATAATAACCGACTTCACTCTTGTCTCCTTTTGTGCTTCAAGTCCAACCCCTTCCGAGCTGCAGCCTTGAATATTTCTGTGATGTACCGAGTTACAGTAAAGCACAGACAACATTCACTTTGCTGCAGTTTAAAACAATCTACTCTGACAAAAAAAAAAAAAAAAAACTTTTAAAAAAAGGACCAATTTGAATCTCCATTCAAAGAGACATACAGTGCTAGCTGCGGCCTCATCAGTGTCTGGGAAGCTGGCCCTCACATTATTAAGACACGGAGACAAACAACACGAGCCATCTGACCAAAACAGCCAGTCGAGTCAGACCGCTTTAATGAGCCCTTATGGAGAAAACAATACATTTCCCTCTGCTAGCAACGTTCTGCTGTTCTTTAAGTTAATGAGAAAAGCTAAACAAAATGCGTTTTCATCACATACATTGAGGGAAAGGTAACAAGGGAAATAAATGAGTGCCAAAAGCAGTGCGACTTGCTGTATTCTTACTGCTGGCAGATCCAGCGCACTGAAGGTTACGCAGGGAGCAGGCCATTGTCCTTCCCCTCAATGCAAACACATCTAATTGGGCCGGCAATTAACACAGCGCGTGTTTACTTACACTCTGGAAACTCAGCCGTGATATAATTTGCCTTTCCGTGGAAATGGAATCACAAATGAAGATGTTAATGGGTAAAGGTATGCGCTGCGGCAGAGATGAGCTCTTACCTGACTGAGCACTATAATCTCATCTGCATCTATGATGGTGGAGAGCCTATGAGCGATGAACAGCGACGTCCTGTCCGTTATCATCTCCTTCATTGAACTCAGGATGGTCTAGAAGCAAAAGACAAAGAGTCATCATCTACACCGTCCTAATCCCTATAATAGTATTTCTTAATCCAAAAAGAAAACAGTTCTCGGTTTGCAATAATGATAGCTTGGGAAAAAAGGGCATGAATGACAGAATATATATGAAATATATTGCCAAACTTTGACTTAGGCAAACTGAGTCAACACAATGTTGCTCGGCAACATCCCCCTTCATATGCGTTTCTGTTCAGTGTTTACATATGATAATTTAAAACCACCATTGTGATGAGACGCAATAGAGAAAAGAAAAAAATTGCAATTAACATCCACATCTACTGCCCCGCTCTTCTCCCTGAAGTTCAGCGAGAGCGCGCCGAACTTTCTCATTAGGTGTAACATTTACAAAGACTGTGTGGTTTAAGCTGAGCTGGGGATTAAGTGGGAGAAAACAGTGGCAGGTGGCAATAGAGAGCAAGGGGGTGGTGTGTGCGTGTGATGGGGTGTGCGCGCGTGTCACAGCAGGTATGTGATGCAGGAGAGAGCTGAATTATTGTGTACCTACAGCAGGTGACTGAGTGGGTGCTTGTTCTGCTAAATGTGCGTGCAGGCAGCCGGAGGCGTCAGTCTGTGTGTGCGGCACTGAACTGCCACTTTGTGTGTGCGTCTGTGTGAGCAGTGGTCAGGCCGACCTCTTCGGTGATGGAGTCGAGGGACGACGTTGCTTCGTCGTACAGGAGGACGGGCGGGTTCTTTAGTATAGCGCGGGCAATGGCGACGCGCTGCTTCTCCCCGCCTGGAATAAAACACAAAAGGTTCGATATGAAGATGAGGCGAGAAAAGCTGCAATATGTCTGATGCATGCGTGTGACGATACAGCAGGTCTCTCTCTGGCTCTTCTCATCATAATTACCACAAACCGAGGGGCCATTACTCAGACAATATAAATGCTACAGAGTTCAGGTCTGCTAAAACAGACTTCCATTTAATTGTGAGGGGAAAAGTCAGCGGGGCTCAAAGATTTATCCCACTGTGTTCGACTCGGCCTTTATTACATGTGAGCGGCGTGTGGCCCCTTGAAAGCAAGCGGCTTTCAGTGAGTGTAAACATCTCTGGCGGCGGCGAACGGGAGCGAGTTAGAAGACTCGGGGCTCAGACAGCCCCCCCGCCTCCTTCTCTCACACTCGCTGGCAGCTGTCACATATAGCAGCGGTGAAATTAATGAGAAGTTAGTCATGTCTTTATTTTGTCCGTTCTCTCACTTGCTCCGTCACTCCACATCAAGAAATCTGGGCTGCTGGTAATTGCGACTTGAATGTTGAGTGAAACAGCTCACACTCTGTTTATTGGGAGGTGGGGGGGCTAAATGAGCTGCAGCAAAGCTAGGAGCTAAAGTCCACACAGACCTGTTCTGGTCGAATTACATTTACTTTTAGCTCAAAAGCAAATTATATTAAACACACTTAAGACACTAAAGTATAAAAAATAATAAAACAAAGCAGAAAGAGTTGAAAAGCCATTTCAAGCAATTATTTTATCTTTTGTGCAAAACATAAAACCTTTCCAAGCAGCTTTATCTCTAGTTTACGACACGTTTCAATCATTCTCTCAACATGCATTGTTCAAAATGCAATCTATTGTCTAAACAAAAGTTACTTATTTAAGTCATCTTTAAATGGTAAACATTTAACTGTAATAAATAGAAGACTAAAGTTTTATATATATATATATATATATATATATATATATATATATATATATATATATATATATATATATATATATATATAT